AGTTCTCTGTCAGCGATGACTCAGAGGATAAAGCAGGAATACCCGTCAGCATGGTTTCAGGAAAGTAGGTTTCACCAAAGACAGCTATGGTTTTCTCATGGTAGAATTACTGGTTCGGTTGGGACAAGAGAACAGTGCTTTTATCCTTTGATTTTGCAAGGCATAGACTAGAGAAAAACATTAGGAATAAGGAATGAACAAAGCATGTATTAGGTTAGAAAGCACACATACATACAGATCACAAGAGATAGCTAATGAGGAAATATCAGCTAACCAGAGTTCTTTTTAGCTGTGTGTTGTGGAGATCGATCTTAGCCAAGTGCTGCTAACATTTGGTTCCAGTGACTGATGTTATTCTGACCTCTTCCCTAGAAAACGGGCAGCTGATACTAGAAAGGTAAGCACTGGAAGGCCCCGCTAGTATTTACAAATCACCTAGTGAGATTCCATCCAAGTTAATTTCCATTACCCTTCTGTCCTTAAAAGTCTATGGGAGATTGACTTCTGGGGAACAAATTTTTGCACCAAAGGCAGTCAGTGCATTTGAACTCCAGTGCAAACCTTTTGTGGAAAACAATGGTTACAAGTCAAACACAGCACAGACAGGCATTCACTATGTCTCTATAGAAAGTTCACCAAGCAATCCTCGAAGTGTCAGTCATTATTTCCACTCTATCCTATTTCCCCTAAAATCTAGTAAGACAGTTGTGTTTCTGCTACACTTTCATGTCGTGAATACAAATCGTTAGACTTTCTTCTTTACTTTTAGCTTTCCCTGAAAGTAAAGAACCTCAACAGTCTCTTTTTCTCACTGTCCCAAAGATAGCCTTCAAAGAGTGTAAAACCTTGCACTACTCCAGGGCGAAGCACACCTTTCCACTTGGAAAGGACAAAGACAATTACATTTTGGAAATGTTCTCTGGACAGACATCTCCCTTTATCCTTTGCATACAAAAACAGACTGAGCAGATGATGCATCTTCAATTTGCGACTAAAACAAAAGACAGAAAAGAGAACTTGAAGGTAGTTCTTCCAGTATGGTGTCAATTCTCCTCTTCATTCACACCCCTCTAATTTCAAACAATGTAACCAGTGGTTTCAATAGGAACTATAATTGCAGCATCCTCACAGCCTCATGCAGGCAAAGAGTGGCAGTCTAGTTTTATTTTTCTTACACCCACAGAGAATTCTGTTTTGTTTCGACCTCTCATTACTCTCCCTCCCTCACTTGGCTCCGAACATCAAATTCTCTCTCAGCCATTCAACGTCTATTCCATTTGGCTGCTTTTTTCTTACCATTATGCATACATATTGAACAGCTGGAACCAAGAACAGGCACAATTAATGATTCTGAATTTTTCCAAAGAAAACGTCTTTGCTTTTCCCCTATTTGAAATTATTTTTGGTTTAAAAATAAAGGGGGGGAAAAAAAAAAGAAGGAAGAACTGCCTCCCATTAAACCTTACACACATCTTCAAAAACTAAGTGGAACATTTTGGGTTAAAGCTTCTACTTTTTAAAGTTGTTTCATGGTTGCTTTTATTCCTTAAATCACATAAGAACTCCTAAAGGGCCCCTGTTGCATCTCGGTGCCAAACCAATTTCTTTTATTACTGCACAGGAACCAGAACAGCAGAAGACCTCTACCCCTCAAATACCTTACAAGTTACCAGCCCTAGGGAAAAATTGTGTTTGATGCTTTAGCCTATAGCCACAGCAAAGGGAGAGCAACAGCAGTATCCATGAGAAGGATGAGGCTAAGAGGCATTAAATGGCACATCCTCACACACTAATAAACACTCTTAGGGCAGATCAGGGTATCTGGGGCAAGGCTAAGAGCAGGGATTTCCAAGTAAAAACCTGACCAAGTGGAGAAAAATTGGGCATGAGGGGATGCCGGTAGCAGGATAGAGTCTTGCTGAATGTAGATCTGATCATGGATTTTATACTCAGTCCTGCAGGAGTGGCCTGCACTACCTTCTGCCTCATGCTGGAAAAAATCCCCTACTTCAAAACCCAAAGCAGGGTCCGTTCTGTGGAAAAACAGAAAAACGCCTCAGCCAGCGCTTCCTTGAAGAGAACAAGCTGTGGGACAAAATGAAGGCTATCACGTTGCAGGGTGTGTGCTTCTTTCACGTCAGTGCAGAGGGGCTTGCAGGCACAGTGCCAGTCCTGGTCTGCGCAGCGAAGCAAAAGACCACTGTGTCTGACAGGAATAGCTTCAACGCTGACACTGCAGAAAGCCTTTTGCTAGACACTGGTTTTTGCTGCTGTCACTGACACCGAGCTAAGTGCTCTCCTTTCTTCACAAGAGCACTTGACCTAGCAAGCCCAAGACACCAGCCCTGAGCACCAGCCACTCACCAACACGTTTGTGGGGCAGCTGTGGCCTACTGACCTCCACACAGTGTCCAAAAGGCCTCAACAGACCAAATAGTGTCTTCTCTAAAGTACGCTAAGTGACTGAAGTCATGAGTGCGTTCTGCTCATTAACAACACAGCGGCCAAAATGGACACAGGTTAAATGAATGTACGTGGTGCACACACACACACACAGCTAGCTATACTTGGGTGACACAGCAGTACACACAAAATAAGACCAGGTGCGGTCTTTTGTACATGCCTGATTCTCCCTAAGTCACGTTCTGGGTCTTGTTCAGCAGTCACCTGACAGAAACATATGGTCACTGCTAGTCATGTAATACAATAGCTAGAGCTCTCCTTCCCTTTAGATAGCATTTGTTAAATCCTCATGATTATTTAAAACAAACGCACACGCATTTTTACAATTCTGTGTCAAAGACCAAAACAGCAATGTAGGTAGAAACCTTCATTGAAAGGTCCATTTCCCTTACAGTCAGAAATGTGTTGCAAACTGAAGAGTGCAATCTCCTTATTTTCCGCGGATGATCCGGCAACTCTGACTGTCTGCATCCTGCAGTAAGTATTAGAATCAGATAATCTGCATCAGCCTGGGTTCAACTCAGCAATATCAACAGATCGTTTTACCACCTTCGCAAAAACAATCCATTTCCACCAAGCACACTTCACAATAATAAAGCTTTCCAATCTTCCACAGAAAAATGCTTTTTAGGGAAGCAGAAAGAGAAGGAATGAAAAAATACATTACATATAGAAATCTATTCTTTTAGCCTTCCTCACAAAACAAAATCCCTTCTGGGTAGGCAGGTGAGTTTTGTATAATAAAATATAGCTTTGCCTTAGATTTTTTCTTTGTAAGATACAGAAATGTCTTAATATCTGGTCTTGGTTTTGGAAGAATGTCTAGGTTTAAACAAATGTCTAGTTTTTCTTATATTATAAAAGGAACCGAGTGAGATTAGATATATGAAATCTTGACTTCCTGTTCATACAGGACAACTGCAGAGAGATAATAACATGAACTTCTCAACTTAGGAAATGCAGGAGATGACATTAACTCTTTCACATAGGCAGTTTTTCCTCTCGGTTTTTTGATAGGTGTTTGATGTCAACAGATGAAACCAAAACTTTAAACATTTGACAGCCTGACCAAACATTGCACGCCTCTCAATTACAACCTGACAAACCTGTATCTCTGATTGCAGTCTGAATTTTAGGTCATTATCACAGTATTGCTCTAGATAAAGTCTTCACGAAAGGAAGCAGCTTTAGACTGGCAATTTCTAATGCAGTAGGTAAGCAGAACTAAAACACAAATACTTTGAGCTGTCACCATACAGGCTGAATCATAAACAGGAGGCAGATGAACATTTCTTTTTGTTTTGCAATTCACTTTAAATAACATGTAATGGACTCTGACCTGGCAAACCTCCTGCTCCGCCTATTGGTAGAGCTCCAAACTCCATAGGCTGCAGAAATCACAATTTTTGGGGGATTTTTACATGCATCACAGTTATCCATGCTCAGAAGGAAGCGCTCCTTGCAGGTGACATGGAAACAGCTTATGTGGTAAAACACTGTTACACAAAACTACCAACCAACAACTCTATCTTGTACTATTATATCAGAAATCTTGATGTGTTTTGGTGGCAAAGCTTCCATGAAAGCATCACCTACTTTGTAAACTCATTATTATCTTTAATTATTTTTAAATCCCTTATAACAGCATTCTGAAGATTTATTCTCAAGCCTCTCCATTACACCACTGTGCAAACGTTTACAGAGCCTACTCAAGTAAGAATACTCAGCTGAGCAAGGTGGTGACAGGGCTGTTTGTCATTACTACAACCAATACTCAAACCAGTTACTGATTAATTCCAAAGTATTCTCCAAGCCTGGCATCTGCCACACCAGAGGTTAGCATGGAATACAAGTAAGACTGATGCCAAGTCATTCAAGCCAACACAGTTTTAGCCTCTTGCTGAAAGTGAATCAGAAGACTCTGCAGATTCCCAATGTTATAATATTTAAGACCGCTAAAGACTTCTTGAAAGTCCTGGAATAAACCATCTCATTGTAGCCATGGTTCAAGCACCACTAAAACCATTCAGTTATGTTTACTTTTCCCAATGGAAACCAAAGATATTCAGCACTCAGTCCCTGAGCCAAAATGTCAAAAGTGTTCACCCCAAGAGCATGAGCCAATCACTCCATCTTTCTGTTATAATGCTAATTACACTGTGGAAATTAAGCCATACAGAGGTTTGGGATCTAAAAGCATCAAGTTTTATATTATGAGAAAATGAAACAAACTCTCCAAGGAGCAATAGCTTCAGAACCAAAGCTTTACAGAGCGGCCCTATGCACTCATCAGCAGAACAGGGAAGATGCTGGTTCAGAAAAACAGTCATTTGACAACATATCTTAAACATAATGCAACATAATTTCAGTTATTTCATAAAACGATCAAGCTCCAATATCACATGAAAAATCCAAAAAGCATCTGCAATGACATTCCATACTTTCCAGGAAAAAAAAAAAAAAAGAGTAGGAGGAGACCATACAAAGAGTTATTAAATCTCTTTCTGGTTGCCTGCATATTGCATAATCACGCTTACCTGACCAAGGGAAGGAAGTGTTGCATATGCCATGGGCTGGTTCATCATTCCTTTCTGCTTCATGATGAGCATGCGTTTCTGTTCCTCACTCAGGTGTGCCATCTGAGCTTGCATCTGTGGCTGCTGGGACTGCTGCTGCTGTATGTATGGCATCATAGGGTTCTTGCTGGGATTTGCCATTGGTGGGGTCATCCTCTGGGTCAGCTCAGCATTGAAGTGGGTCAGAGGTTTGGTGTTGCCATAAGAAAGCATATTAGGCTGTTTGCTTAAAGAGTTTGTGCCCAGGTTATTTGGCTGCTGATTGATCATATTCATGTGATTCTGAGGGAGGTAGTTATTCATTGTGGTCTTCTGTGGATTGTTTGCCATAGGAGGCACTATTGGGTTTTGGTTGTTAAAGGCTTGGGGATACATCATTGGACTATTTGGTTTCTCTGCACTGAAAGGCCCTCCATATGGACTAGACGGAGGGCCCACAGGCGACCAGCTTGAGGCTTGATTTGGATGCTGCTGCTGCTTCTGCTGCATGAGCTTAGCTCTTTGCTGCTGCTGTGCGGCCATTTGCTTGAGCTGTTCAGCTGGAGACAAGTCAGCAGTTGGTAGATTCACCGGTCCAGGCCCTGATCCTGCCACAGTTGCTGCTGCTGGGTTCATAAGATAGCCATTTCCAGATCGTGTCTGAGTTTGGCCTGGAGTATGGGCCTGGTTGGGAGTCTGAGGCGACTGAACAACGCAGTTTGCTGGTGAGCCTGCAGGGATTGGAGCTGGTGGAGCACTGGATACAGAAGTCACACTAGAGGCTGTGGAAACATTTGAGAATGGAGGACCAGAGGAAGACGGCCTCACCTGGGGAGATCCTAATGGAACATGAGCAAATGGGGAATGAGATGGATCGCTTTTGACGCTTGCGCTCTCTTGAGTCTCTGCGGCAGGCCTCGTAAGGTCTGGCTCCTTCTTCTCTTCAAAGTCTTCATTGAACAAATCTTGTATGTCATCTTCCGGAACGGTGTTTGCTAGTTCATCTATTAGCTCCTGCCACTCTTGATCGTTCAGATTGATGTCTGAGAAGAGTTTGTTCTGATTTGAAAGGGATGTGTCTGAAGTGTCTATGCAGGTAGGATCGTCCAAAGGCTCTTGCTTTAGTTCCTTGTTCTGCAGGACACTAAAACCATCGTCTAACTCACTGCACCCATTAACAGGGAGCTTTATCTCTGAAAGCCCTCCGTTTTTACCCAAGTCCTCTAGCCCACTACCGTGAGTTCCACTGTTCTGCAGGGGCAAGGATGCTTTCATGTCAAGCTGGTGAAGAGGAGAAACAGCAGGCAAAGGCAAGTTATTGGGCAAGCTGTTGATTGCCTCGATGCCTGGTACATCCTTCCGTATCCGCTTGCTGGTTGGAGAAAAGCTGCCATCGCAAACTCCATTCTGCTGCTCTCCATTGAGAGGTGATCGTGCGCCTTCCAACTTCCTTTTTACAGTCTCTTGAAGCTTAAGGGAAAACAAGAGAAAAAAAAAAACAACATTGACCATTTGCAGAGACAAAGTTCTGATGAGCCTTGTGACAGACACTTGTTACCAAGCTGCCTAGTGACAGTAGGTTTTAAGAAACGATTAGGAAGCTTCCTTGATTTCATTCCTATGCCTTGATCAATAGGTCTAAAGACATCTAAAAATAGGTCTAAGACGGTCTAAAACAAACAAACTCTTCAAAACAACTTCAAAACAACTGCAAAAAAATCAAAACACCCACTCCCCTGAATAGGAGAGCACAGGTCCACAGTTCCAGAAGCAGTTCTGTAAAACTTGCCTGTACTCTCCAGACTACCTGAATTTTACAGAACAAACTGAATATTCCAACTTGCTGATGCCTAATGCAGCGATGAAACTTATGTTTTCACAAAATACTAAGCAGTATCTTCTGATAGCATGACTCCTTTAAGGAGTCTTCTGTTCCATTTTCAAAAACTGAATCACTAAAATTTACTATTTATTCTGAAAAACATTTTTAAGTTTCTCCAAGTTTTTGAAAAAATATCTGCAATGCAACTGATTGACCATTTGTATTGAAATGTGCTGTTGACAAACAAAAAAAAAATCTGAAAAAATTAATTAATGTAGCTTAATTTGAATAGCATTCTGTTCTTTGGCTGCAAAAACTGCAAAACATATTAAGAATCAGTCTTAAATGAGGAAAAAAACATAACCACCCCAAAACATAGCATGTGTTTTGCACAATGCTAACCCAATCAAATCACACACAAAAAAAGAAAAGGAAATATTGTATGTGGTAGGGCTAACATAAAAGACAAATAACTAACAGGAATGATAACAGGAAAAGTCCAGGAAAGTAACCAAAATAGCTATGAGAATATTATAAAGAATAACTTATTCATATAAGTTTTATTTTACGTTAAAAAAAAGAAGAGTATGCATTGTTACAGTGTACAATCCCCTCCTACCACAATCAAACAACAAGTTCTCTGCTCTGTGTATCAGGCTAAAAAAAGCAGCCTTCTTTAACTCATGCAAAAACAATAGTGGGGAGGGGAGGAAACAGAGAGATCACAGCTCTAGAGAACTCCTTCAGGACACACTTGCATCCTTGATACTAGAACAATAGAAGATCACAAAAAAAAAAAAAAAAAAAAAAAATCAAATTTTTAAAGTACTTTTACTGATATGAAAATCTCAGCCACTCGGCTCCCATCCCTGCCCTAAACTTGAAGTCCTCAACCTTGTTTCTTCCCACTGGGCAGACCCCATTTAGTTCTCCCATCCCAGAGAGCAGGCTCCCCTTTCATCCCAAGTGCAAAGCAAAGCAGAAAAACAAACTCATCTCTCATCCCCGCTCAGAGGGAGCAGCTCAGAGAGAGCAGCCTTTCCCCCAGCCCCGTGCAGGACATTGAGGGCACTGCACAGGGCACAGCTGCACACGAGTGGAACACCACGTGGCTCTCACCCGCTGCCTCTCCGCCCTAAAATCCTGCATTAAGCTGAACATCACTGTATTTATCTGGTGTCACTATGGCTAGAGGCTTCCAGTGAGCCTGTTTTCCCTTTGTCCTGAGACCATGTTAGCAAAATACTGAGTTGCAGTAAGAACAGCCATACCGAAGGGCCTCTGGCATGCTTCTAGTGATGAAGAGAAGGCCATGTAAGAAAGACAAACCTTCATTTGTCTGAATACCAAGTCAGAGAGTAGTAAGAGCGATCATCGTCTGAGAAATAAAACAAAACTGATTCCATACATTTCAGAGCACTTTGCAGGCATCCCTTATGGAACAGGGGTTCCAAATGTGAAATGTGATACCATTTCACATTTTACATTTTACATCTTTTAGTAATTTATCCTGAATCCATCACCTTATTTGTACATGAATGTTTACCAAGAGAATCAAAACTATCCACAGGCAAATAACCAACCCTAAAAATACCAGCTCCTAAAGATGTAGTCGTGCTGTAAAACTTGGATGTCCCCCTGTACAAATATACAAGGACTTCAGTTAAAGTAAAGCAGGGCCAGTATATAAATATTAATATCTTTGTTTATTATGTATTACAACAAAAAGATTTAAGATGGAAACTATTTTCCATCAAATATCAGCTGTACAAAGATCTTGCCTTGTTGCAAACAAAAAAAACCCCAAACACCCCAAAGCCTATTCTAAGTCTCTAGCTCCAAATTATTCTCCTTCAGACATTTTTGGGTGTGGGGGGCTAAGAGTCAATAGAACACTCTATTCTCTTTACTTTGTTCGTTTGCTCAATAAACAACTGTAGGTGGAAAGAAACATAACACAAAGGTTTATTGGAAAGGAACCTGCTGCATACAAACTTCATGGGTGGCAAAGCATCGTAGCACCAGTATTTGGGAGGGCACTGGGGCCACAAAAATAGATGCATCTTTTTTAGGTATGACACATAAATATTAATTTACTTCAGTGCAAGTAGTTGTTCTCATATCCTGATCTAATTCTCAGTCACCATGTAAACTAGTGGATTGCTTGAGTGTCATGCACTGACCACAGACAGGCCAGCAGCTTACTGCATTAGGATTGCACAGTGACTTGGAATAGAACTCCAGCACCTCACCTTCCCTCTGTAAAAACAAAGCCTGAAGTCAAATATTCTCCTGCAAAGTGCCTTCCACTTCCTTCTAAGAAGTAGTGCCTAGCTTGTGCACGTGATTTACAGTGTGCTTCGTGAAGACATTAGCCTCAAGTAGAGATTTATATCTTCGAGCAGAAAACCCTTGATGCATAAAATAAAACAAAAATAAAATCCTTGCCAGGTTCATAGGCTTTTACCTTTATTTACGCAAAATATTTGGCCGATGGAATTGCATTTCAAAGCAGAAAACAGGGTGAAGCAGGACTTGCTGTTATTTACATGCCTTTGGAGAAACTCTTGTCGCCGAGCAGGAAAAGGTCAAACTTTAGTGGGCTGACTTCTTAAAGGACTCAACTGGGGGGCAGAGGAGGACGGGAGCTGTGCACGCCAACACACAGCCGCACGAGGACCCGGCCCAGCTGATCTGAACTGCCCTGAGATGTTCAGCAGGGCTGCTCGGACATGCCGCAGCACACCCGACACATAAACAACAGAGCACCGAGGCTGTCGGCAGGGCTTTCATCTGCCGGGAGAAGCTGCTTCACTTCATCCCACCAGCAGCAATTCATTTTTCAAAAGAAATTAGACCAAGGTGCTGTTGTTATAGCAACAGTCAGAGCCACTTACCCGGCCCCATCCCCCCTGCTTATGCTGACTTCAGCGGGCAGCTATTTCAATTATGTATGGGGAGTGACCAGGACGGCGGCTGCTTAGTTCTTTTATTGCTCTTTCAAAAATTTAAAAGAAGAAGAAAAAGGCACAGGCTAAATCCTCTTCCTGCCTGTGGAAGCGGAGCACCTCTCACACTGCCTAACACAGCTCTGCTTCCAGCTGATGGCCAGATGACACGACAGCCTGCAGACACGAGGGCTCACAGCCTGCAGACACGCTGCAGCAAGTTCACTCCCCAGCTTTTTGCACGGTGCCCAAATGCTCGGCACATGTCACAGTGGTTGTGTCAAGTGGCACTGCTCAACATGACTGGACCTGACAGATCACCTAAACAAAGGTGCAACAGGCATAACAACCTCATCTGAGATCAACAGGGAATAATTACTATCGCCACCGATTCAGCTCCACCATTTGAAAGGATTCCACATCTCTTGGAAATCCGCGTCCTTGCTGGACTGCCTCAGGGACAGCCATTAACAGGCCAACAGTGCAAAAAGACAACACGGACCACATCTTGTGACCAGTTTATGAGGTCTTTCAGCACCACAGCAGCCTCACACTGCACAGGTGTCACACAGAGATGAGGTGAGAGCAAGAAAGGTGTTCAGAAACAAGAACTGAGATCAGACAAGTGGTCAGGCAAAGCCCAGGGACAGGAGGCTGCTTCCAACAGGTGAAAATACTTTGTGCATCAAACTACCTGAACTTCCTTACACTGCTGCACACAGAATCACAGAATTGTAGGGGTTGGAAGGGACCTCCAGAGATCATCGAGTCCAACCCCCCACACACAGCACCAATGCCTGCGTACTTACAGGATGAAGCCTGACACAGCAAATTGATCAGGATTGTAACTGCTCACTTAAAGCACACACCACACTCCTCCGTGCTGGGCCTATGTGCCCAGTTCTTAAAGACTCATAGAATCATTAAGGTTGGAAAAAGACTTCTAAGATCACCTAGTCCAATTATCAGCCAATCCCCACCATGCTCATTAACCATGTCCCTCAGTACCACATCTCCGTGTTTCTTGAACACCTCCAGGGACGGCGACTTCACCATCTCCCTAGGCAGCCTGCGTGAGTGCCTGACCACTCTTTCTGATAACTTGTTTTTCCTACTATCTAACCAGAACCTTCCTTGGCACAACTGGAGGCCGTTACTTCTCATCCTGTCGCTGTTACTCAGGAGAAGAGGTCAATCCCCACTTTGCTACAACCTCTTTTCATGCAGTTGTAGAGAGCGATAAGATCTCCCCTGAGCCTCCTCTTCTCTGGACTCAACAGTGCCAGTTCCCTCAGCTGCTCCTCATAAGATCTGTGCTCCAGACCTTTCACCAGCTTTGTTGCCCTGCAGGCCACTGAAGCATCTCAGATACACAGGAAACTCCCATTGTGCAATCTGTTTGAAGCTGGTAAAAGTCTTGTTCTGCCAATCTCCCCCCAGTAACCTCTGCAGGTTCACTGAATAACCTCTGCTGAAAGAATGAGGTTAAATTGCTGCCTGTTATCCGAGCAGCTCAGGTCTGCTGGAGACTACCATCAGCCTTGTTTTTGCAAGCAGCTATCTGAAGAACAAACTACTTGTGTTAACAGCAAGGAGTAAAACAAGCTCAGGGCGTCAGGCAAGCCTGAAGGAGCTAGCAGTAAGGAAAATGATCAGTTTAGCTGGGTCCATTGGACAGGAGGAGTTAGTGTTTTGAGCAG